CTGGCCGGAGCGCCGGGGAGGGCGGCGAGCCCGCTGTGGCTCCGCTCTCCCCGGTGAGCGCCGCCCCCCTCCAGGTGCCGCCCCAAGCACATGCTTGGTAGGCTGGTGCCTGGAGCCGGCCCTGGTGCCATGGCTTTATTAGTCCAACAAATATAAGGTACAAGTCAAAATTCCAAATTTCTACACTTCTGAGTGTGGGGCTTGTGTCTGACTCTAAACTTTACCAGAGTACACCATGTTCAGATTTTAATTTTATGACTAGGGTACAGAGCGACTTCAGCTACGCAGCTCTAACAAGAGTTTTGGTTTGGACTCTTCTCTAGATCAGTGCATGACCAAGGGCACATAATGTATGACTACTCCTTACTTCAGAAAGGACAAGTGTGTCAGGCCTTTTTTCCTGTTAGAAAATGAAAATGACCACATCCCAATAAATAGAAACCTCCTTCCTCATTCCTTTGTTTGTTTGTTTGTTTTTTGGTTATTTTTGTTTGAGTTTCTTTAAAGGAATGTTGGGCCTCGATATTATTGTTGTTATGACTGAAGTCCTTCATGGAAATGCAATTATGATAACGTAGCTATACATATTCAATAGTGTATCGCTTATCTTTATTAAATATTTACTTCCCCAGAAATAACTCCTTTCTTTACACCTAGGACTTCTTTTTTTCTAGTGTGTACAATTAATGTCATGAACCTGTCTAAATAAATGCTTCAAATGTTCACAAATCTTTTTCTGTCATTCATATTGAGCATTCCCAGTAATTCATATAGTTTGGTCTTGGACCTGTAAATAATATTTTAAATTTAAACTATTGCTAGGTCCAATTTTCTTTCACTTGGGTATAGTGGTGTTCAGAAATCCCAGTTCATAGATTTTTACCTGCTTGTTATATCTTATGACTTTTGCTTGTAAATGAGTCTTGTTCATCGGGACAACAGAGCAGGCGCTTTCTGTGGACAGCTGGGTAAATCTTATTGGAAACAGTGTACTCTTTCAAATCGAAGCCAGAGATCTTATGGTCAACATACCAATGTGCTGGCATGTCTGAAAACTATCAAGAAAGATGCAGCTAACTTGGCAGCACTCATAGTAAGGAGAATTTATGCACAAAAGAACTTGTGTGTGCCTTGACTAGCATCAAAAGAAGGGTGTTTCCATGGGAATACAATAAAAGAGTACATTGATAATAACCTGTACTTCTGCTTTATTATTCATGTACATCGAGGGAGTGAGATGTGCAGTGTTGGTGACACCATGCTAGATATCAAGCAACAAATATCAAAAGCAGAAAACAACATACATAAAATTGAAAAGATCTGGAAAAGTAGCATGATTGGCACTGACAAAAATATGAATGTTTAACACCAGCATCATGTCTGGACTCCTTTATGGAGTAGAGTCACAGAAAACTACCCCTGAAACTGATAAGAAGATCAATTCATTCTAAAGTAAATGGATGTGGAAGATCTTCAGAGTCCACTGGAAAGAGTTTCTTGCAACACCAGAAATTCTCAGTAGAGCAAATCAATCTAAAGCATCAAATATGAAAATAAGAATGGTCATACTGGATCAGACCAAAGGTCCATCTAGCCCAGTATCCTGTCTTCCAACAGTGGCCAAAGCCAGGTGCCCCAGAGGGAATGAATAGAACAGGTAATCATCAAGTGATCCATCCCCTGTCGTCCATTCCCAGCCTCTGGCAAACAGAGGCTAGGGACACCATCCCTGCCCATCCTGGCTAATAGCCATTGATGGACCTATCCTTCAAGAATTTATCTAGTTCTTTTTTGAACCCTGTTATAGTCTTGGCCTTCACAACATCCTCTGGCAAAGAGTTCCACAGGTTGACTGTGCGTTGTATGAAAAAATACTTCCTTTTGTTTGTTTTAAACCTGCTACCTATTAATTTCATTTGGTGACCCCTAGTTCTTGTGTTATGAGAAGGAATAAATAATACTTCCTTATTTACTTTCTCCACACCAGTCATGATTTTATAGATCTCTATCATATCCCCTCTTAGTCGTCTCTTTTCCAAGCTGAAAAGGCCCAGTCTTATTAATCTCTCCTCATATAGCAGCCTTTCCATATCCCTAATCCTTTTGTTGCCCTTTTCTGAACCTTTTCCAATTCCAATATATCTTTTTTGAGATGGGGCCACCACATCTGCATGCAGTATTCAAGATGTGGGCATACCATGGATTTATATAGAGGCAATATGATATTTTCTGTCTTATTATCTATCCCTTTCTTAATGATTCCCAACATTCTGTTCACGTTTTTGACTGCCGCTTCACATTGAGTGAATGTTTTCAGAGAACTATCCACAATGACTCCAAGATCTCTTTCTTGAGTGGTAACAGCTAATTTAGACCCCATTGTTTTATATATATAGTTGGGATTATGTTTTCCAATGTGCTTTACTTTGCATTTATCAACACTGAATTTCATCTGCCATTTTGTTGCCCAGTTATCCAGTTTTGTGAGATCCTGTTGTAGTGCTTTGCAGTCTGTTTGGGACTTAACTATCTTGAATAGTTTTGTATAATCTGCAAATTTTGCTACCTCACTGTTTACCCCTTTTTTCAGATCATTTATGAATATGTTGAATAGTACTGATCCCAGTACAGACCCCTGGGGGACACCACTATTTACCTCTCTCCATTCTGAAAACTGACCATTTATTCCTACCCTTTGTTTCCTATCTTTTAAGCAGTTACCAATCCATGAGAGGACCTTCCCTCTTATCCCATGACAGCTTACTTTGCTTAAGACCCTTCATTGAGGGACCTTCTCAAAGGCGTTCTGAAAATCTAAGCACACTATATCCACTGGGTCCCCCTTGTCCACATGCTTGTTGACCCCCTCAACAAATTCTAGTAGGTTGGTGAGGCATGATTTCCCTTTACAAAAACCATGTTGACTCTTCCCCAGCAATTTATGTTCATCTATGTGTCTGAAAATTTTGTTCTTTACTATAATTTCAACCAGTTTGCACAGTACTGAAGTCAGGCTGGATCACCTCTGGAGCCCTTTTTAAAAATTGGTGTCACATTAGCTATCCTCCAGTCATTTGGTGCAGAAACTGGTTTAAATGTTACGTTAAAACCCACAGTTAGTAGTTCTGCAGTTTCACATTTGAGTTCCTTCAGAGGTTTGGGAATCTCCCTCACATCCTCAGCCGTGAAGACCGATGCAAAGAGTTAATTTTGTTTCTCTGCAATGGCCTTATTGTCCTTGAAAGTTCCTTTAGCATCTCGATAGTCCAGTGGCCCCACTGGTTGTTTATCAGGCTTCCTGCTTCTGTTGTACTTACAAAAAATTTCTATTACTTTTTGAGTCTTTGACTAGCTGTTCTTCAAAAAAAAATGTGGCCTTCCTAATTATATTTTTACACTTTTGCCAGAGTTTATGCTCCTTTCTATTTTCCTCACAAGGATTTAACCTCCACTTTTTAAAGGATGCCTTTTTATCTCTCACTGCTTCTTTTACACAGGTGTTAAGCAACGGTGGCTCTTTTTTAGTTCTTTTACTGTGTTTTTTAATTTGGGGTATATATTTAAGTTGAACCTCTATTATGGTGTCTTTAAAACATGTCCATGCAGCTTGCAGGGATTTCACTTTTGGCACTGTACCTTTTAATTTCTGTTTAACTAACTTCCTCATTTTTGTGTAGTTCTCCTTTCTGAAATTAATTGCTACAGTGTTTGGCTGCTGTGGTGTCTTCCCCACCACAGAGATGTTAAATTTAATTCTATTATGGTCACTATTACCAAGCGGTCCGGCTATATTCACATCTTGGACCAGATCCTGTGCTCCACTTAGGACTAAATCAAGAATTGCCTCTCCTCTTGTGGGCTCCAGGATTAGCTTATCCAAGAAGCAGTCATTTAAGGTGTCAAGAATCCTTACCTCTGCATCCCATCCTAAGGTGACATGTACCAGTCAAATCCCCCATTATTATTGAGTATTTTATTTTTATAGGCTC